GGCCGGCAGACGGCCCGCGGACAGCCGGGGCTGGACTGCTTGCGCGGCAACGCCGAGCCCCCCCGCCTGCGCACCCTGTGCCGTCACGGAGGACCGAGCCGCCGTCTGTCAGCCAGACACTGGAGACGTTTTCCAAGAATAATGACCCTCCCGGTTTTTGTTCACGGAAATGTGGTTACTTTTCATAAGAAATGTTATTTGTGTTAAAATATAATACTTGTTATTTTATGTAACATGTAACGAATGTATTTTATGTAACATAATACATTTTATGTAACATAATAATGTTATTTTACCATTAGCAAACATTGACCTTTTTCCCCCGAGTTTTAACTTCTAAAACCTTAACATTGATGGCTGGAACCACCCCAGCGCTGGCTCCGTGGGGCCCAAAATGAAGCGCACACGGGGTCCCGGCCCCTCTGCCCCGCTGGGCCCTGCGGGGGTGGGAAGCTCACCTCGGTCTGGGGATAAGTTCGCCCGCTTGGCCGGAGGAGGACTTTGCCTGTCTTTGTCCGAGGGTTCGTAGCGCTTCCGGCTTCCTTTATCGGCCGCCTGGCACAACGGAGGGCGCACAGTGAGGACGGCTGGCCCCCGGGCGGGACCAGCGCCCCGTGGGAAGCAGGGGCACAGCGGTGGTAGGCTCACTGCCACACCCGCCCCACGGGCCCCTCCTGTGGCTGCCCACGGGGCCCCGAGGGAGGCAGGGCCCAGGGTTTCGGGCCTTCATTCTCGGCAGCGAAGGTGCCCACAGAGACACTGTGTTCCCTGGGGGCCACCAGCCCTGGAGAGGACCCCAAGGGACCCCGCATCTCGCCCTCCCAGTCCTAGGGAGGCTCGGGGACGTCAGCTCACACAGGGCCAGTTACACGGAGAAGGGCCGGGGAGAGCACCCACCACCCCCGGGACGCTCTCATCTCCCAGGACATGCTATTGGGCTTCGCCACCCGACACCCACGCCTCCCCCGTCACCCACGCCTCTCCCCATCAGGGCAGCAGGACAAGCGGGCTGATGTCCAGCCACCGTTCACTGGCTCCAGGAACCAGGATGCCCCCCGGGGAGCTGGGCTCCCGGAACTGCCACCAGGAGTGCCCACGGCCTCACCTTGTTCAAGAGCGTCAGCTTGATCTCCTTATGGGCGACAAACGTGCCCTGCTGGGGCTGCCCGGGGGGCCCCTGCTGGGGGGCCATGGGCTGCTGGGGTTTACTGCCGGCAGAAGGCTTTGAGGACTTGGGCAGCTGTGCGGACGAGTCCCTTTTCCGCTTGTCTTCTTTAACCCCATCTTCTTTTTTAGACTTTCCTGCCAACAACAAACGCTAAGTCACAGTCACCATCCCGGCACGGCGGTCTCCTGGGGGCCGCCTGGAGGGGGGACGTGCTAGCAGCCAGGCCACGTGTCCGTGGGACGGAGCTGGGAGGTTCCTGCGCTTTCCTGTGTAACCAAGTGAAGCAGTGCACACACCCTCTTTCCACGAGGGGCCTGCCCACCTCTGCAGCCACAACGCCCAGGACACGAGGAGCCCCCTGTACCTTTCTCCTTCTTGGTCTGGGCTGGGGTGGGGGACCGCGAACTTGCTGAGGACACGGGGCTGGCCAGGTCTGCGTACATGTCGTCCGAGTCCACGCTGTGCACCGAGCTACTACTTGACGTGGCGCTAGACACCGAGGAGACGCTGCTCACGCTCAGGGACCTGGACACACACAAGCACGTCTGCACCCACGTGGCCCCGGCGGCGAGAGGCCACAGGGGGGCCAGTGTGGGTATCCACGCGCACCTTCCCCAGCCTCCAGTTTCGAGGAACGTGTACTACCTAACCGGAACTTCAGGGGGGGAGGTGGGCGGTTTAAAGGGGCCCCACGGTGAAGGGACACCCCAGTCACGGAGTCGAGGGCCCTCGCACGAATGGGCAGCCAGCCTGTTTGCTGGGCAGGGACATACGACGAGTGACTAGCTGTGAGCGAGGCTGGTGATGACAGAGCTGAGGGCCCAGGCTGTGAGGCCCGAGGAAGGGCAGGGCTCTGCCCCGCGGCCACGCCAGAGCCCAGAGCAGAGGCGCCCCGGCCCCGCACGCGGCTCTGGGAAGCACGGGGACAGCGGCCGGCTCGCGGGGGCTGCTCCCACAGCCCGCGCCGTGAGGACGACGTGCCACCAAGTCCGAGTGCGGTCACTCTCCGAGAACTCCGCAAGGACCCGGGCAGAAAGGAAGGGCCTGGCTCTGTTTGAAGGCTGGGTCTTTAAACCTCTCTGAGGAGGACCTGGGCTGCCTAGAAACGAACGAGGACGTCCGCTCCGGGATCTAAGGACTGATCCGACAGCGTCTCCTCTTCCAGCAGCTTGACGGCGGCACTCGTCCCTACCGGACCGGCCGCCACTGGGCGCCTCGGGCCCGGCGGGCGGGGGGCGGGGGGCGGGGGCCGGGGGGGCGCCGACAATGACCTGGATCTGGAGCTGGAGCCGCTGTAGCTGCTGCCGCTGCCGCTGCCGCTGATGGTCCGCCTGCAACACAGACAAGGCCCGTCTCAGCGGGCGGCTCGCGGGGCCCACGGTCTCCCCTCGGAGCGAGAGGCCGTGTTCTCGGCGTCCTGCCGCAGCACCGCCTCCTTCTAGGGGAGACCTCGGTGTCGACGGGCGCCTGCCACCCGCACAAGCACACCTTCTGTCCTTAGGTGCTCGCGCCTCCCATCGTGGTCGGGGGAAACCGAGGCTCGAGGACGTGATGTGACAGGACAGGGACCGAACAGGCCCCCAGCCTCAGCTGCTTCCCCCAGAAGCCCCCCCCCAGCTCGAAGCCCGTTCGCTCACCTCCTGGGGGGGCTCCTAGCTTGCCGCTCCCTCCTCCGGGCTTCCCGAGGGTCTCCCGGCTTGGCGGGCTCGGGGGCTGGAGCAGTGGTTTTGGGGGCCTGTGGTGGGGCTGGAGGTGGGACTGGCTTCTTCACGGACTTCTCTCTGTGACAGGAGACGGGGGGAGGGTCACACCGGCCGCACAGGCGGAGGACGGGTGCATCTGAAGAGCCTCCAAGAACCACAGAGCTGGCGCTGTGCTTCCTCAGGAACGTGCCCCCCCCCGCCTCCCCGCTCACGGGCCAACCTCCGAGGGCACCAGTGCCGCTCACATGTGGGACCCACGCTGCAGCAGAGAACGGCCCCAAATTTTCTGTGCTGTCAGTGTGGGGAGAATACCCTGCCGAACATTCTGGTAGCACCGAACACTCAGGGTTCAGGTGGAATCAGCAGGAAACAAAGTCTTGGGCAAAAGCAAGCTGCTCAGCAGAGCATCAGGGGCGAGTTAAGATCCGTGCAGACGAAAACGCCCGCACGACCTGCCTGCCATGCGGCTGGGGTGTCTGGACTGGGGTGGCCTCACATGTTCGCTAAGCCCGTCACACAACTTAGATGGCTGGGGTGCCAGGCATAAAGTACGCCTCCACACTGCTCACTTTCTAGGAGGGGGCGACTCCGGGTGCCTGCAAACTCCCGAGGGCTGCTGGAAGGCTTGGATCAGGATGCAAATGTGCAGCATGGAGCGTTTCAGCGCCGGCCCCCCGGCGAGTGCCAGGCTGTCGGCCGCTGAGTGAGCCACACGCGTGAGGACAAGTGACAAAGGAGGGTGGCGCTGGCGCCACACGGGCACGTAGGCCCGTCCGCTCACACGTGCCCGGCCTCGCCCTGCGGGCCGCAGGGCCAACTCCACCACCGGCTGCCTTCCCGTGCTCCGCACTGCTCGGGAAGCGAGCCCACTTCCATTCTGGGGGAGCGTGGGCACGGCTGCAACCTGAGGCACCGCACGCCAGGGGTGTGACATCTGTCTGGTAAGTTCCAGATGTTTCTAACTTGTCACGTTAGGCACAACTGTTGACGAGGATCAATGGGAGCCACTCTAGGAACAGCAAATGTGAACAACGAGGCCAGTCTGGTGGGGCCCCCATTCTCTGCATGCCCTGGACACAGCCCAGGAAGCACGATGGGAACCACCTCCCTCCTGCCCCCTGGAAGAGAACAGCGGGGCCTGCTCCTGGCAGGGGAGGTGGTCTAACCCCAAGGAGCACGGCCATCACCATGGTCTATGCAGGGGTGCGGGCATGCTGATGTGCGTGTGGCCTCAAAGTCCACATGTCAAGAAGCGAGAAGCTAAGTCTGTGCCCTGCGGTCCCCGAGCCTGATCCCCCAACACCTTTGCCCACCCGCCAAGGGTTCTCACTGGGACTTCTTCACAGATGCAACAGGAGAGAGAGAGAGAGAGAGAGCAGGAGAACCTGCCCCATGGGGCACTTACCCTGCTTTCCCAGGAGGCAGAGCCGGCTCCCCCTTGGTTCTAACAGAAGGTCTGTGCGGGGAAGGCGTTGGAGACGGGGAGGGGGACGAGGAAAAGGACCGGGACCTAAGGAGAAAACAAAGGCATGAGGAGGGCGCGCCACGGTGCCCCAGCCTGCACTTGAGCAAGCTAGGGACGTTGCCCGGACACAGAAAACGTCGCTGCACGTCTCTACTTAGCTGCCTCAGATTTAGAATGGGCTTCAGATAGTTCTTGGTCCTTTCCAAAAACACATTAGAGGGGAAAGGAGTAGCCAGGCTGATGGGTCCTGCAGAAGGCCTGGGGGCCGTGTGGTCAGGCTGGGAAGGGCACATGCTCTGCATTGCTTAGGAAGTCCAGCAAGGACACGGTGACACAGGTAGGACAGAGGGCCAAGCGAGAGAGCTGGGCACTGAGGCCTAGGGGGCTGGAAGGTGCGGGGTGGGCAGGGTGGCCGCGAGCAGCATGAGGTAGGGACTGGCCAAGCCCACGGAGTGTCCCCCCTGAAACAAACAGTGACGGGCTCCAGTTCCAGGTGTCAGCAGCATGGACAGAGAGCCCCAGGACGGGGGGTGGGGTGGGTGCAGGGAGCTGGCCAGGCAGTTCTGGAGGCCGACCTAGCCAAGCTGACAACTCCACTGTCCCAGGATCCAGCACCACACGGTGCAGGAGGCAAGCTTCCGAAAGGCTCCCGGGCGGTCGTTTTCTCCCGACTTAGAAGCTGTCGTGGACAACTCCCCATTTTCAGCCAAGCAGTGGCACCAAGTAAAATAAGGCGGGGCGCCTGCAGTCACACACTGAGGTTTTAGAGACAGAGGAGCATGGAGGAAATGCCCGGCTCTTCCATCCTGGCGCTCGCTTTGCCTGGCGGGGCTGCCCACCAGGGGAGATGGGCAGGGACACCCCCGCTAACTGCCAAGGGGCTAGAGCCAGACGGCGCAGCCCTGTGCCCCCGCCTGGTGTGCGCGAGGTCCTGGTCACCGACTGCGACGATGAGGTCTCTGGTCCAGACCCCATCGTGGCCTTTCCGGGGAGCTACAGCACCCTGTGTGTATGGAGACAGTGGAGCTGGGGGGTATGGCCTGGAGGCCCCCACACGGGCAGTCCTCCACCTCCACCTTCCTCTGGCCTTGGACCTAACTAAACCCTGAATGGGATGAAGGGGATGTCCCCACATGCGTGTCCCCTGCAGGCAGGGCATGTGGGTGCAGGTGCAGTGCACGCCACCTGAGCTGGTTGGAAAGTCAGAAGCAGCAGACACAGAACCTGAACAGTCCTGTTAGTTGTATTAATCAACGACTCGGTTCCTACACAAATGACAACGAAGAATTCTCTAAAACCCCAGAGTTTGTCTAATTTCAGTGGGAAAAATATACGTATTGTTTGATCTTTCTAGAAACGTCCAACAGAACTTTCTGTGAAGATGCAAATGTCCTCTATCTGAGCACTCCAAACAGGGCCCACGCACACTTTAAAATTCTAACTGAAGGACACTGTGCATCACCACCCGTGGCTGGTGGCCCAGCGGACAGTGCAGGTCCACAGGACGTGGCGACGGTGGCCTTCTGATTTCAGCACACCCACAACACAGGTCGCATCGCTGCTGCTTCTGAGCCACCTCCTGACACGTGCTCTGTGCGCTGAGCCCTCAGCACCTGCAGTTTGTTACCTGACGACGCAGCTGCCTCGACACACAGCGGGGGCTGTTCTGAGAGCAGCTGCGTGCCTGGAAGGACGCCGTCGAGGCCGACCGGACACGGTGCAGGTGCCCGGGCTGACCCGGGCCGCACCCGGCCGCGCCCACACTCACCTGGACCGGCTGCCTGAGAACGAGCTGTGTCTGGAGGACCGGCTGGAGTAAGAGCTGTAGGAGGAGGAGCGGGAGCGGGAGCGGGAGGACCCGGAGCCGGAGTACGAGGACGACCGAGACGATGACCTAGACAGTTCAAGCACAAGGTGGGAGAGGGGCCGGTCCTCCTCCAGCAGCCTGGCCGCTGCTGCCGACCTGCTACCCTCAGGCACAGACCCAGATGACATGGCCACACGTCCCCCCGTCCCCGTCTGTGCACACCCGCCCACCTCCCACTCCCACCTGCCCTTGGGACACCCCTGCGGGCACGCTGCAGTCCAGCGCCCTCCTGGCGGGACTCAGGTTCAGAAAGCAAGACCTGGGTACGGGTGTGCGCCCCACTGCCGGCGGACAGCACACCTGCATTTCTCTCTCTGCCCGTCTGCGTATATAATGAAAGCCTTGGGTCGACGCTAACCTCCCCAGTCCTCGTCTAGCACAGCGGCCTCCCGCCAGCCTCCCTCCCACCACCCACCTCATCCCTGTTTGTTCAGACCTAGCGTACACACGAAGCCCAAAGGCACAGGAGGAAGAGAGGGGCTGACTCCTTGACGGGGCTTATGCCGTCCTTCTGGCCTTCGGCCTCGTGGGGTCTCTCCCAGAGGGACTGGGCGAGCTCTCTCCCCTTGCTGGCCCCCTCGCCGGGTCTGTGCTCCATTCTGGGTTGCCAGCATCCTGGCTGAGGTCCACTGTTTATTTTGGGGGTGTGAGGCCTTACTGAGGTTCTAAACATCAGTTCTGCCTGCCGCTGACGCTCTAGCACCCCAGTTACTCAATAATTCTCTGCTGGACAAACAGATGCCTCTTTAGTCCCCCTGACTGTCCTCAGGCCAGGACGGCGCAGCCCTCCGGTGGCGTTTATGAACCAGTCTCTGTGACCGGCCAGCCTCCTTACCTGGAGGAATTGGAGGCAGAGGCCGATGAGGCTGATGTTTTCCGACGCCTTCGTGCCCGGCTAGGGGAGACAGACACCCCGAGTTTCTTCTTGGGAGACTTGGACCGGCGCCAAGGGTCCTTCCACTCGTCTGCTCGCTTCACCTGCGGCCCTGCAGCAGCAGCCTCCTTCTTTGGTGGCTCAGCTTGACGGCTAAAATCACAGAGGCGTTAGCCACTCTGGGACCGTCCTCTCCGACAGCAGTGCCGTCCGATGAAGGCAAACGAGAGGCAGGATGGCGGCATGAGCGCCTGCTTCAGGGGAAGCCTGACAAGGACCAGGTCGCCTACCGGGGCAGCAAGTCCTCCCTCGGCAGCAGGGCTCACTCCACAGACGGTCTCCACGCATTCATGTCCTTCCTGGAGGAACAGGTTTTTCTCCTTCACGGTAACTAACCACACCGGTACTTACTTTTTTGGGTGTAATGACTTACAGAATCCCCCACCATACTGCAAACTCTGGGAAGGACAAGGGTGGCCTTGTCCGACATGTCCTCTCTAGAGCCGGAACACAGTGGGCACAAAACAAATACTTAGTTCAAGGGCAATAAAGTACTTGTTGCCCTCAACTTATGGTCAACTAATCTTTGACAAAGCAGGAAAAAACATCCGATGGAAAAAAGACAGTCTCTTCAACAAATGGTGTTGGGAAAATTGGGCAGCCACATGCAGAAGAAAGAAACTGGACCATTTTCTTACACCAACACACAAAAATAGACTCAAAATGGATGAAGGACCTCAATGTGAGACAGGAATCCATCAAAATCCTAGAGAACACAGGCAGCAACCTCTTTGACCTCAGCCGCAGCAACTTCTTGCAAGACACATCACCAAAGGCAAGGGAAACAAAGGCAAAAATGAACTATTGGGACTTCATCAAGATAAAAAGCTTTTGTACAGCAAAGGAAACAGTCAACAAAACCAAAAGATAACCAACAGAATGGAGCAGATATTTGCAAATAACATTACAGATAAAGGGCTAGTTTCCAAAATCTGTAAAGAACTTCTCAAACTCAATACCCAAAGAACAAATAATTTAGTCAAGAAATGAGCAGAAGACATGAGCATTTCTCCAAAGAAAACATCCAAATGGCCAACAGACACATGAAAAAATGTTCAACATCATTAGCCCTCACAAAAATTCAAATCAAAACCACATTGAGGGCACCTGGGTGGCTCAGTCGTTAAGCATCTGCCTTTGGCTCGGATCATGGTCCCAGGGTCCTGGGATCGGGCCCCGTGTCAGGCTCCCTGCTCGGCAGGAAGCCTGCTTCTCCCTCTCCCACTCCCTCTGCTTGTGTTCCCTCTCTCACTGTGTTTCTCTCTGTCGAATAAACAAAATCTTACAAAGGAAAAAAAAAAACAAAAAACAAAAAACCACTGTGAGATATCACTTCACACCAGTCAGAATGGCTAAAATTAACAAGTCAGGAAACGACAGATGTTGGCGGGATGCGGAGAAAGGGGAACCCTCCTACACTGTTGGTGGGAATGCAAGCTGGTGCAGCCACTCTGGAAGACAGTATGGAGGTTCTTCAAAAAGTTAAAACTAGAGCTACCCTAAGACCCGGCAATTGTACTACTGGTTATTTACCCCAAAGGATACAAAAATACAGATTCGAGGGGACACATGCACCCCAATGTTTATAGCAGCATTATCAACAATAGCCAAAGTATGGAAAGAGCCCAGATGTCCATCAACAGATGAATGGATAAAGATGTGGTGTATATATATACAATGGAATTTTACTCAGCCATCAGAAAAGATGAAATCTTGCCATTTGCAATGACGTGGACGGAACCAGAGGATGTTATGCCAAGTGAACTAAGTCAGAGAAAGACAATTATCATATGATTTCACTCACATGTGGAATTTAAGGAAAAAAACATATGAACGTAAGCTAAGGGCGAGAAAAAGAGAATGAAGCATACCATAAGAGACTCTTAACTCTAGGAAACAAACTGAGGGTTGCTGGAGGGGAGGGGGGTGGGGGGATGGGGTGGCTGGGCGATGGACATTGGGGAGGGCACGTGAGGTAAGTAGCACTGGGTGTTGTATGGAAGTGACAAATCGGTAAATTCTACTCCTGAAACCAGTATCACATTGTGTGTTAACTAACTAGAATTTAAATAAAAATTTGAAAAAAAAAAAAAAAAGTACTTTTGTTTTCACGTGCATTAGAAATTTCGTGAATCATCAAACCCGAGCCTTCAACAGTTCCTTTGTTCTCTGACTTAGGTTTGAAGAGACTGGTTTGATTTACACAGAGAGTACTGTGGCCAAAGCCCCAGAGAGAGGAGACAGTGGCCCAGAGAAGTCAGAGGTGCTCCTTGGGACAGCCACTAATGCAAGCGTCAGGACTGAGGGCTAGTGTGCCAGGGGGAGGGACTCTGCCAGGACTGAAGAGCCCTGTCCCCCAAGTCCCTGCGGGGCTGCACCAGTGGTAACTGCAGGTGGAGAGAACAATCACCTAGGAGTGAATCGCGGCTACGGCTGAGACGTGAAAGCCGCGCTCTATGGTGACGAGCAGACCACTGGCAGGAGAACCCAGGAGCCTCCTTAACAGGGTAGGAGGCAGCCAGGCAGCTGAGTGCTCAACGGGGGAGCCCGTTCACCCTGTCCGGGAGCTCAGGGTGGAGACACAGTGGCAGCAGGGTGCCCTGTGCCCACAGATACACCTTACAAACCCAAATATCCTCACTTAAAAAGGAGCCAAAGTGTAGGATCCCAGACAACTAGCAGTAATTCTTTTTTTCAGTCTTTTATGTCTAATTTCTTTATTCAATGTAATTATTTTGAGGTTCATCCATGTTGTGTGTATTAACAGTTTGTTCATTTCTATAGTTGAGTAGTATTCCATTTATGGATTTCT